GCGGCAATGACATACGTGAAAATGAATTGGAAATATCACTGGCGGATTTCTACACGGAATTGGTAAAGTGCTGTAAATAAACAAAGAAAGTGCAAGTTTGAGCTGGACACCAACAGCAACCAAAAGTTAAAAAAGTAAAATGTCTGAAAAAAGATAAAATTAAAATAACATAAGACAGGATCTACTTACAGCCACTGTTCAGATATTTCAAGACTGGCTCCCATACTTTATCAAAAGCTGCCCCTCTACCTGCATTTTTATATCTAAGTTTCTCCAGGCATAAAGTCTCACCAAGCTCCCTCATCCACATTTCAAATGAAGGTACAGTATCCGACTTCCAATGCCTTAAGATAAGTCTTTTAGCCAAAATAACACCAAAGTATACAGCCCTTTTTGTACTTTTGGGGTACTGAGTGGAGTCACCACAGAATGGCCACAAGGGGGCATGGTTCGCACAGTCTATTAAATGCCTTTGAGTAGAAATCAAATATTGACCAGAATGAGTGAAGACTGGGACATGTCCAAAGTTGATGTGTGAGTGTACCAACCTGATTCTTGCATTTGTTACACAGAGCTGACACATTGGGATACATCTTGTTAACTTTCAGTTTTGAGCAGTGCAATCTATATATTATTTTGAATTGTATTAGTTTATGTCTAATGTTAATTGAACATCAATGAATATTCAGAAGACAAGTTTCCCAGAATTCTTCAAAAAGGGATATTCCTAATTCAAATTCCCATTCAGACCTTTGTTTTTCTGTGTTAATTACTATCTGACTAAGAAGTGTCTGATACAAAATTGACACTGCCCCTTTTTTACCTGGCATAATTTTAATTATTCTCTCAAGTGCAGGATGATATGGAATATCTGACATTGTAGTTACATGGGTCTTTATAAAATTTCTCACCTGTAGATATCGAAAAAAAATGCGAGGCTGGCAAATTGTGGTTAAACTTCAGTCCTGATACAAGTCACTCAGGGACCTCACTCCCATCTCTCTCCATCGAACAAACACCGGGTTCTCAGCAGAGGGTTTGAAAGCATGGTTATCACAAATCGGTGTGTCCCTGTACATATTAGGGGACTTCAAGTATGATTTAATTTGTATAGAGATTTGCTTATTTTGATGGGGCTGTTCAGTAGGGCTAGGAGAGAGGTCCCCTCACATGCTGCCTGTTCCCAAGAAAGCCAGGCAGGGGTGGGTTTAGTTGTATCCTCAGTGCGATTCGAACTTCTCCAAAAAGCCAGGATATTTAAATGTACTTCCCAATAGTAACATTTGAAGTCTGGGAGACCAAAACCACCGTCCTGCCTGAAAGGGAGCTAAAGTGGTTAAATACCTCCATGAACGATGGAATGGAGTCTTTTGGGCTAGACACATATAATAATATGTCGTCCGCATAGAGCGACAAATGGTGTTGTTGCCCTTTAATAGAGACAGGTGATATCTTGGGGTGCTGGCGTATTTTTGTAGCTAGCGTTTCTACAACCAGATCGAACAAGTATGGGGAGCTTGGATCACCCTGTCTAGTTCCACGGAGTAGTGGAAATTCAGAGGAGACATCCTGGTTCGTAATTACACTTGCTGTGGGATGAGCATACAAAATCCGTATCCAGTCTATAAATACCTTCCTGAAGCCGATTGCGTTTAAGGTCTCATACATGTACGGCCATTCAACCTGGTCAAAGGCCTTTTGAGCATCGACTGATATTACAACTGTTTCTGTGTTATGCTTACTATAGATAATGTTGAATAAACGTCTTAAATTAAAGTAAATATGCCTATTTGGAATAAAACCTGTTTGATCAGGATGCACAATCGTATGAATATATGTTTTTAAGCGGTTTGCCAGAATTTTGCTAATCAGTTTAGTTTCGTTAGGAATCAATGACACTGGTCTGTAAGATGAAGCTTCCAACTCATCCCTGCCCTTTTTTAAAATTAATGAGATGTTGCTCTATACAGTGTTTGAGGTAGTCTGCACTTTGCTGCAGCGTGCTTAAACATACGCAGCAGAAGCGGGGCTAATTCCTTGTGGAAACACTTTTAAAATTCTATAGTGAACCCATCGGGCCCGGGTGTTTTATTATTTGGAGATTCTTTAATCACTTGTATAATCTCTTCTATGGAGATCTCCTTATCAAGCGTTGCTACTGCTTCAGTGCTAAGTTGTGGCAGGTTTAGTTGGGAGAGAAATGACTTAATAGCATTAATATCATGGTCGCCATTTGATTTGTATAATTTCGAATAGAATTCCATAAAATGTGTGTTTATTTCTTTGGGGTCTGTGAGAATTGTTCCCGAGTTTGATTTTACTCTGTGTATAGCCCGAGAGGCTTGAACCTGCCTCAGTTGACGTGAAAGAAGTTACTTGCCTGGCATATACGCCAAAAAAGTTTTGAGCTTCTGTGTTTATTTCCACAATACCAGGCTCACTGAATTGGCACGACAGTGTTTCTCCTGTTGGCCCCGCCCACAAGTTCCCTCTCAGCTCATAAACTTTACATTATGATGATGTCACAGATTTTGAAATTTCTTGAAAAATGCCTTTTGGGCCTCAGAGAATTTTTTTTTGCTGGCCACTGGAAAACATCGGCTGCAAGGCTGAGCAGCATTGCTGGGGTCCTGGGCAGTCCCCAGAACTGTTCAGTTAAAAAATAACTTTCGTTCCTGTCTGATTCCTGTTGCTCCATAACCCAAGCTGAAAACAGGCATTAATCCCACATAATCCACCATTCAGTCTGCCAGAAGTTTTTTTTAGTGTTTTGTGTTTTGTGGAAACTGAGATGTCCAACACTGTAATTTTCAGCCCAAATATAAACTTTCTCCTCTTCTTCAGGTGCCTGGAAAGGCTGTTTTATGGAAACCAGTGACAGCCTACATCTCTTTCACCAATCCTCTGTCAGTTCCTCTGAAGGGTGGTGTGTTCACTGTGGAGGGGGCCGGCCTCCTGTTGGCCACTGAGATCCCTCTTAAGTAAGTACTGAGTTAGCCACCTTCAATGAGGCATGTGCACAAAATTGACAGACGATAACCAACCTTCAAACATCCAATATTAATGTAAAAATGAGGTCTAGACTGGCCTCCAAAAAGTGTGAAGTCAATATGAAGAGCCCAGAAGCACAATGTATCAGACTTAGGATTTTCAGTTCAAAAACTTAGCTTTTGTGGTCAAACCAGCAGTGTTTGATCAGTTGTTCTTGTTGAGTGAAATAAACCATTAATCAACCACTGACTTAATTGCCATTCATGCTCCTCCGAGGATGACCCTCAAATTGTCAAGTCAGTTCATGACAGGACCTCCAAAAACAAAATAAAACTCAAGAATTCATAGCTCTTTCTTTTTCTTTTCAGACGTGATATATTGCCTGGCCATAAGGCGTCTCTCGAGCTGTCATTCTCACCCATGCGGGCTGGGGTGAGGAAGCTCCTGGTGGACTTCGACTCTGACAAACTTAAGGATGTGAAAGGAGTTGCCACTGTGGTTGTCCTGTAATCACTGAATGTTTTGCCTTTGGGCTGACTGAAATTGACACATCTTGCATTATAAAATAATGTGACATTTCCTGTGAGACGAGGAGTTGCCCTGTTTGATTGTAACTGTGTATGAACAAGCTGTGTCTTCCAGGACGACTGTGACCATGTCCACAAAGACATCACCGAACACAGTGTTACTTTAATTACCTTAAAGCCACTATGTGTTAGACTTCAACATTGCTAACTCTGCATTATGTCTGGCATTAATTACATGAATACAGAATTGATTTTTTTTGCTACCATTTAATTTCTTGAATTTCTTACTTGACTGAATCACAAAATTTAACAAGTTTACTTCTATTTTCGTACCTGTCTCCTGATCCAAATCACCGCTGGTTTTAGTCCCTGATTATGAATGTTGTTTGTGTTTTGTTACTTTATTACATCTTTGCACTTTGCACAATCCAAATAGTTACAACATGATTGGAAAAAACTACATTTTTAATCCTAATATTTATGTATGTTTGCAATATTTCTGTGTTCAAACTGAAATGAAACATATTCACATTATGTTTTCAATAAAGATTTCCTCCACCAGATTTCATTTGACCTGACGTGTTGTTAACATTGATGTCTAAGCTAAACGATGTTGCATCTGCAGCATTATTTTAAACCATAGAGAGCAAATTATTCTACATAAGAGAGACTCATAATGTTGGTTAAAGATCTGGAATTAAAAATAAAGTGTCTACAAAAATGAGATTCCTTAGGGCCCAGACACATCAAGCTGACTTTAGAGAACTAACATCGACAAAGGCCCCCTGCTGTGGGGCCTCACGTCGCCTGCGTTTTGGCCAAAAAGTTGCACATGAACTGCAAAGACTTCAACCAACAGCCAACCAGCACATACAACCTGCGCTTGCATGAAAGGAAATACACTGCCTGGCCAAAAAAAAAGTCACCACCAAAAAAAAAGGTCATACACTCTAATATTTCGTTGGACCACCTTTAGCTTTGATTACGGCACGCATTCGCTGTGGCATTGTTTCGATAAGCTTCTGCAATGTCACAAGATTTATTTCCATCCAGTGTTGCATTAATTTTTCACCAAGATCTTGCATTGATGATGGTAGAGTCTGACCGCTGCGCAAAGCCTTCTCCAGCACATCCCAAAGATTCTCAATGGGGTTAAGGTCTGGACTCTGTGGTGGCCAATCCGTGTGTGAAAATGATGTCTCATGCTCCCTGAACCAGTCTTTCACAATTTGAGCCCGATGAATCCTGGCATTGTCATCTTGGAATATGCCTGTGCCATCAGGGAAGAAAAAATCCATTGATGGAATAACCTGGTCATTCAGTATATTCAGGTAGTCAGCTGACCTCATTCTTTGAGCACATACTGTTGCTGAACCTAGACCTGACCAACTGCAGCAACCCCAGATCATAACACTGCCCCCACAGGCTTGTACAGTAGGCACTAGGCATGATGGGTGCATCACTTCATCTGCCTCTCTTCTTACCCTGATGCGCCCATCATTCTGGAACAGGGTAAATCTGGACTCATCAGACCACATGACCTTCTTCCATTGCTCCAGAGTCCAATCTTTATGCTCCCTAGCAAATTGAAGCCTTTTTTTCCGGTTAGCCTCACTGATTAGTGGTTTTCTTAAGGCTACACAGCTGTTCAGTCCCAATCCCTTGAGTTCCCTTCGCATTGTGCGTGTGGAAATGCTCTTACTTTCACTATTAAACATAGCCCTGAGTTCTACTGTTGTTTTTCTTCGATTTGATCTCACCAAACATTTAAGTGATCGTCGATCACGATCATTGAGGATTTTTTTCCGGCCACATTTCTTCCTCGAAGACGATGGGTCCCCACTATCCTTCCAGTTTTTAATAATGCGTTGGACAGTTCTTAACCCAATTTTAGTAGTTTCTGCAATCTCCTTAGATGTTTTCTCTGCTTGATGCATGCCAATGATTTGACCCTTCTCAAACAGACTAACATCTTTTCCACGACCACGGGATGTGTCTTTCGACATGGTTGTTTAGGAAATGAGAAGCAACTCATTGCACCAGTTGGGGTTAAATAACTTGTTGCCAGCTGAAAGATAATCGCCCATGCAGTAATTATCCAATAGGAGGCTCGTACCTATTTGCTTAGTTAAATCCAGGTGGCGACTTTTTTTTTGGCCAGGCAGTGTAACTCTCCAACCAGCAGACGGCGGTCATCTGTAATCATTATTCAAAAAAGGAAGCTGGGTTCGAATAACGCAAGAAATGTGTGCTCTAGAGAGAGGATCAGCACTCGGTGAATAACCTCCTAAGCCATATGATAAGCTATTATGGCAAGGCCTAACTATACAGACCAGTGAGCAGTGATAACTAACATGTCTTTGGGGTCATCAGGTGGGAACCTCCTTTCACCAGTGTTTCATCTAGTTGGTCCCACGACACCTCCAGGAGGCTAGACAGTGATCTCTGGCGTCCCAGAGACACTCCCCTAATGCCAGGTCTCACTGCTCCCCGCACCAACCCAACAACCTCCTTTACCTTACTTATGCATGACTTTCTCAGCCCAAGCAGCACTGCCACCTTCAACAAACCCAGGCTCCGTACATGCGAGCTCCAGGTAGAGACCATCTTGACGCTAGTTAGCCAGTTGGCAAATTAACAAAAAAAAAATCCAATGTTGAAAGAACAGAGTTTATTTACTCTGTTTAATTTATCATGTTGATCTATTCTGCATGATATCTATTGCACGTCTGTCCGTCCTGGAAGAGGGATCCCTCCTCAGTTGCTCTTCCTGAGGTTTCTACCGTTTTTTTCCCTGTTAAAGGGTTTTTGGGGAGTTTTTCCTTATCTGCTGCGAGGGTCCTAAGGACAGAGGGATGTTGTATGCTGTAAAGCCCTGTGAGACAAATTGTGATTTGTGATATTGGGCTTCATAAATAAAACTGATTGATTGATTGATTGATTGATTGATTTACTGTGCACCAGTGAACAATAATACAAAGCATCACGATCAGTTTCTGCTAAAGAGCTCCATGGTTAAAGAAAAACTGACACCTCCCACCCAGAAGTTTCCTCCATTCAACAGACAAATTTCCTGATCCAGCCAAAGCCTCTGAGTCTCTGCTGTCACACCTCTGTGACAATTCATACTGGCCACCTACTGGCCTGACAGACAGACACACACACATACTCAGCCCATTCACGTCAGCTGTGTGTATGTGTGTGTGTGTTAGAACAAACATGAGAGAAAGCGATTGGAGTTCAAGATTAGCGGCAAAGATATCAAGAGTGAATGTAGAGCTTATAGCAGTGATGATACTCAACTTAAGGCCCGTGGGCAATAGGGCATTGGGAGGCCTGCAGACCATTTTCTAATTCACAATGAAAACAAATTGATTTACACTGGGATATGTTTTTGTCTTTTTAATGTAAATAAGGTGCCAGAGTGCATTAAAGAATAGCATCTAAATTTTGCCTTTGTAAGAAACACAACAAAACAAAACAAGGAAGGCTGAACCCCTCGACCCTCTGACAGAGATCCAGGTTGTGCCCCAAATGTCCTCAAATTCTACAAACAGCCCTGTGTACACCTAATGAGGACAGCAAACACTGGAAGGTTGAAAAGAGGGAGTTCTTCTTATTTATATACCACTATACACGTAAATATTAGTAAATTTTGTTTATTAATTCACCCCTGCACTCCTGTCATTTTGCAAAAGTGGCCCCCGGGCAAGGCAAGTTTAGTTTTCCTGTCTTTCAATGCCTCTCAGTTTAATATAAAATGTCGTAAAGATGATAGTATATAGTGTGTGTGCTGCCGCCAATAAGTTTTCAGGACATTTTCAGTTTTAGAGCTGTATCTTCTACATCATTCATGTAAAATAATTAAACTTGGCCATTACAGCTTCGCTGTGGCCTAGGCTGTTGTTGTGCCAAGCTAGCGTGCTACAGCGTGCTAGCTTGTAGCATGCTGCAGTGTGGACCGACAGTAAACATAAACATGTTGCCAAACTATTTTCACAGTGTGTGTGTGTGTGTGTGTGTGTGTGTGTGTGTAACGTTGGCTTGCTCATGTGATCGGCTTTATGGACTGTTGCTGGGACTCTCCAAGGGCACTAAATGTGTAAGGACCACCACTGGTAATCAAGGCAGTGGTGTTATGTAGTTACGATGGGCCCCACAGTGCACGTCTTCATGCACGTATCCTCTTGTCAGGTAATCAAAACATTATTTCATGTCTGTATATCACAGAAAATACTAAAGAAAATAAGAAATTATTCATTTAATTTAGTAATTTTAATAGTTTACTTATCATCTTGTTTACACATTCTTGGTGTTGACAGTCATGATAAGATATTGTGGTATCAGGTTTTCCACTAGTTGGCGCTGTTCAGGCAGCTGGGAGCTCTTTTGGTGGGAAAAAAATGAGAGACGAGAAAGAGAGAGAGCGGAGGGGAAGGAGGAGATATCAGGAGATGCCAGTCCGCCTCAGAGCTCACTTCAGGCTTCCAGAGTATTCCATGTAGGATGCTGTGGTAAGATATACACGCCAAACTTCACCATTCTGACCTACAACTTTGGAGGCTGATTGGACTCTGACTGCTACCTCAGCCAACTCTTCCTAATTATTGGATTTCACTATACGTTTTACTAACACTAATCCTGACAGGGTGCAGTTTTCTGTCCCTCATGTTTTCCTGTTGCTTCAGGTTTATCTGCAGCTTTATACTATTTGTCTGTTGTTGTTGTTGAATGTGCAGAAATGTTGCTGAAACACACAGAGCTATTAAATACATACAATATGATATTAATGCCTAACGTGACAAAGATATTTATGCATGTTCCCTTGCTCTGTTTATATTTCTTGCCATATTCCACGTTCGCAAATGTGAATTTACGAAAGAAAAAACTAAATTCTTAGTATTCATGAAGGAAATGGGACGTCAGATTTCTTCCTCACAAAACAAAAAAGCTATCAAAATGATAAATGGTTTAGATTTTTTTTTAAGTCACTCTCACAAGTCACTCGCATGTTGTCACATACTGTCATATAGTAGTCACTCAAATCAGTCAGACCTTTTAAATGTTGCATTCAGATATCAAGTTGTTGACAACAGCCGACTACAACTGTCAGTGTAGGGTGTGTTTGTGTCACTACAGCTATAACACCAGCAGAGGGGGCAGGAGAGCCGCGTAGCCATAAGGTGGAGCCACATGTGTCGCTTAGCCACAAAAAAAAAACTTACCCTGCCCTCTGGTTTACAAGTAATCTAATAAGAATGCATAGATACAAAACACCCCCAAAAATATGAATAAAGGCTAAAAATGTACCGTGGTAGCATCGATATATACAAATGTTTTCGCCTATATTTCATCGTGTCAGGATGGCCGAGCGGTCTAAGGCGCTGCGTTCAGGTCGCAGTCTCCCCTGGAGGCGTGGGTTCGAATCCCACTTCTGACAGTAACCTTTTTCTTCCTCACTTCACAGTGCTTTGTGGGGAGGGATACCCTAGCGGCACTCTTGAGTACCATTATTTCGTATTGCGTTACAACCACCCAGAATGATTTTGGTCAGAATTGCAGTACACTGATACTAGAACTGGTAGTAATAATGATGGCAATTTGTTATGTTTATTTATGATTATAACTGATTACAATTATATTTGCTAATGATTATTTTGAACAACGGTGCATGGTTGCCTTTTGTAACATAGCAAATTTTCATTATGCCTTATATATTTATTAATATACTAATAAACTACCATAACGATATTACTGCCTAGTTTGAAAATGATAAAGTCATGCAGTTTCAGCCCTATAATGCTTTGACCAAAACAATTACGAACCTTGTAACACAGGAACATATCACACATGGTATGAAGGCACAATTCTGCATGAATCAAACTTTGCCAATACTTCATTATAAAACTTTTTTGTAATGATTTGACACATCTGGCACAGCGTGCTGGCAAAAAGCAGAGACATCATACATGCTGATATTACTAATATACTGGGTGAGGGGGGTTTCTGTGCTGTTGTGCTGCCTGTGATGTTCTGGGGCACACAGGTCATTTCTTTTACCACCTGTAAGAACTTATTTTGTTAATTCTATCTTAGTGTAATTCCTGCTGCAGGTTGGTCGTCACTGCTTCTAGCTGCCATGTTAAAAAGGCAGCACCACTGCAGCATAACTTATTGTTGGTTGTGTCAGTGAAGGATGCAGCTCTCAAATTCAGCCTCACACCCCTGAACTGTTACACACAGACACTACCTGAAAATATGACCTTTTCTCAAAAGTGTTTGCTCCGACCTGGGCCATAATAAATTCTTGACCTGGGCCCCTAACTGATCATATCAGACCCAGGACATCAAATAATATGGCACGTCAGATACTACATCATATTATTTATTTACAGTTGAAATATTAAGTATACAGTAGTTGGGGCGCCTGGTGGTTTTGTGGGTAGTGGAGGCGCCCCATGTACACGGCTGTGCCCTTGCTGAAGCAGCCGCAGATGTAATGCCGGCTTGCAGTTTTGCTGCGTGTCATCCCCACGCCCCAAAGCATCATATCTTCAGGGGGATATCAAGCATATCTGTCCTAGCAATTAAAGGCAAAATGCCCACATACATCAGCGTAAGTTCATGGTAATGGTAAATGCTTTGTCATAGGCAACTGGACTTGCTTGCGTTTCTTGAAGACGTTTCGTGTCTCATCCAAGAAGCTTCTTCAGTTCTAAATGACTGGTATGAAGTTGCAGGCTTTAAACCCTGTGTGGGCGGGAACCTTTGCAGAGTAGGGGTCACATGTGAGCTCTTAGTTTCAGAATCGTTAAGGTCACAGTGTGAGTTGTTGACCCACCTGGCCACCATGTGAGTCGTTAGGGTCAGGTGGGACCAGGGGTGAATGGGTGTGAAGTCGTCTGGTGAGGGATCCCAAGACTGCATTGTAGGTGGGTGATAAATGGTGTCATAAGCCACCTCCTCTGTTTAATGATGGTTGTTCCAGCTTGACTTAGATGGCTTCTCTTACTCCTTGTTCAAACCATCTTTCCTCCCTGTCCAAGATGTGCACATTGCTGTCCTTGCAGGAGTGTCCTTTCTCCTGTAGATGTAAGTGGACAGCCGAGTCTTGACCCGAGGAGCTGGCTCTCCTGTGCTGTGCCGTGCGCTTGTGGAGTGGTTGTTTTGTCTCCCCAGTGTATAAATCTGTGCATTCCTGGCTGCACTGAACTGCATACACTACATTACTCTGCTTATGTCTGGATGTTTTGTCCTTGGGGTGGACAAGTTTTTGTCTCAGTGTGTTACTGGGTTTGAAATGCACAGGGATGTGGTGTTCGTTGAAGATCCTCCTGAGTTTCTCAGACACTCCTGCGACATAAGGAATGACAATGTTGTTACGTTTTTGTGTCTCTTCCTCTCTGTCTGCTCTGGGTCTTTTTGAGAATTTTTATCATTTAAGTGCTACAGTTAAAAATGTAGTCTCGATATTTCTCTTTTGCTTTTCAAACAGGTCGAAGCTGCTGTCCTGCACCTGCTTCCCTCTCTTGATAAGAAGCCAGTAAGTGTGGAGGGACAGAGGATCTTCCTGCTTCTCAATGAGCTCCTGCATGCAACCCAGAGACACAAGCGGCGTCAAACAAGCATAAAGCTCGCTGAGGTGGTCGCTGCTGCTGTACTAAACTTGTCTGCTGACAGCCTGCAGGTCATAGGTACTGTCACCACCACACATGTTACTTCATCATTATTTTTATGTTATTGTTTTTTAGGTATATATTTTATTTAATTATAGTATGAAAAGACAAAAATACAAGATATGGTGTCATGCTTTATTTAATGTACTGTATCATATATTGTTGTTATTAAATAACAATGACCAGTTCTCCTAGCTGCTGTGTTTTTGTTTGTTGTATGTACCGGATGAATGTTTTATGACATAGCCTACAAGGACATATTTGGACTGTCAGTGTTTGAAATGAACTAAAACAACATTAGCGCTTAAAAGTTTCCACCCTTAAAGAACACTGCAGCAGCATTTTCTGCTGTGTGTTATTCATTGTTGATACAATACTAAACCAGTTTCACTCTGAAACTGCAGCACAGAAAAAGTCTTCCTCACTGACAGTTTGGAGCTGCTGCTTGTACGATTTTGCTTTTGAGTTATACATTTACAGCATGCTAACAGGTCATATATGTGTCATATATTTAACTCGGTGCGGCAGTACACTCCTGTGTCTTATCATGAGACATGTCAAGGACAAGTATGCACATACAAAAACATCCACACCAACAGAGGGTCACTGAATCCATTTCTTTTTGTGTTGTTATTCTTTCTCTCTCCACCTCTTCCCAGTCTTCAAATACGTTAATGAGTCACTCTGGTGAGATGCCGCTGAGAGCCATATGGGAGGTGCCAGGGCCAGATAAAGATGGTAAAAGAGGGAGATAGCACATAGAGAGATGATGACAAAACACTCAATGTGCATGTGCGTGCGTGTGTGTGTGTGTGTGTGAGAGAGAGAGAGAGAGGGGGAGAGAGACAGAGTGAGAGCGAGGGGAAGGTGTCGAGGCTCACATACCACCACCATTAGACACCTGTCAGTGCAGGTGGAGAGAGTGACTGCTGGATATCTGAGCCTGGAGGTTTCACCGCAGGGCTCCTCTTTAACTCTTTGGACTGTTTTCTTAGTTTAACTATCAAGACTTTGTGCATTTGTGTTTTATTTAATATTTGTGTTTTGGACATAACTGAACTTTGATCTGAAGTGTTAGTATTGCTGCTGCTACCAGTGGATTTGTTCAATGGTTACTGAATCCCAGGTGTTTTTGAAGGAGTGAAAACTATTGGAGGAGGAAAGTTCTCATCCCAGGCGTTTCTTCTGGGACTGGATTTAAGGGGTTTGGTGTTGTTGTGACTGTTTCTGAGACGGCCATTGTCAGATAAGCTGAGTGATCATGGCAGACTTCCCGTCCAAGGTTACCACGGAAACCAGCTCCCCCAACTCCCAGAGCTCTCAGCAGGGGGGCAACAGCCTCTCAGGGCTGACCGCTAACATGACCAACAGGATGGACATTTCCTTTATCCGAAGCATCCCGGCCATCCTCATGTTGGTTGAAATAGTATGTAACAGACGCCGAGCTGTTCGGTTTTTAATCTATTCAACTTTAGTACAAACTTATCTCTGTTCTGTCCTGTTCAGTAGGCAAAGCTTTTTCTGTCCTCTTCTATTTCATTATGGCTGAAACCATTCATGGATTCATTTACAGAATTCAGGATAACACTGGTGATATTCTGTTATCATTTCTTACTGTTGACATCTATTGAAAACACCAAAACCAACAATGCGTTAGCCCTTTTACCAATAGGCCTACTTTCTGATATCCTTACCCCGTCAGTGGCTCTCAGCGACAGGTCCATTTTTTTCCAACTGAAGACATACATCTTAATTAAAGGTCATCAATACATAGTTTTCTTTTTGTTGTTGTTTTTTTTAAGGCTAAATAATTTCCAAAAAAAGCTAGTCACTGTAGTTTTTAGAAAATGTTACTCAAACAGGGGGAAAACAGCGCATTTATTGAGGACTAGTTTCAGGTGAGGATTGATACACATTTGTTGTAAACCACAGTGCCCATGTTCATCATCATGAGGGAACATGTCATCCAGTGCACTGGTGTGTCTCATTGATGTCTTGTTAATAGTTTTTAGACAGTTATGGGGTTATATGACGATCAGTTAGACTTTTGGTATACAGTTAATACCTAATTGTTGGTTTTGGTCTTTCTATGGTTTTTGTTGACAAAAAAATCACCAGATTTTTCCTTTAATGGTCTATTAATTTGAGTATAGGAAGCTGGTTCATTATGATTTTTTAGCCAGCTAAAAACCTGTTTACCTGTCGTGTTTTTCTCTCACATAATGGCAGCACCAGTATATTAAAGTTGAAGACCCCATGTATGGATAGAGTGTAGGCAATCTAGGATCGGTAATAGACACGTTTGCAAAATATAAAAGCTGTTATATTCATTATTGAGGATTAGTTAAAGGCAAACCACAGTGTGTGATAAATTGTCCAAAGTGAAGTCAACTTTACAGCAGCCGCAGATAAAGATATTCGTATATCTATACTCTTCTGCTGGTGCCACAGAAATTTGAATGCGTGTCAACAAGTTTCAGTTTGTGCACCATAAATATCACTGACTATCTATCAACAGAAAGCAGGACTGTCAGTGGTCAAAGCCTCTGTTGTTTTGTTTGGCAGTGTGCACCCAGTCACTTTCAATGTTTGGTCAAGTCAGGAACTGGCACAGAGCTGAAAATGAAATGATAAGAATTTGTGTGTGTGTTTTTTTGAATAGATAAAATTTGATTGTGAGAGTCGGTGGAGCAGATCTGTTACGGTCGCACTAATACTGCATGTAAGATTAAATGAAGTACTACAGCAATCAGGATGACAGTGCCAAGCTTAAGCTCAAGTTCATGTCCTCCTCCATTGATGTGTTTGCACTTATCTGTCCAAACAGAGGACATGTGACTGGCTGCAGGAGATCTTTGTCCCCTGGCGGCCTCGTCCCCTCATGTCACACCTCTCTGACAATCCCATATATTACTGAACGTATAGCTCCGTCTTCAAGGACAGACATGCAATGTTTGATCTGTATATGATTTGACTGTTAAACATTTGTCACCCCTCCGTGCTTTATGAGTTGCAAGTGTTATTGGCTTTTGATGGCATGGTGGTGGTAGGACCAGTTAGCTATTGGTCAGCAGTGGTGCACTTGTTGTAATCAAAAGGTTTACTAACTCTGGTAAACGTTATGAGGTGCGGCAGGTAAACGTTTCAACATTTCCCCTGCATTTTGCATTTCCCCACCAGTCATACACCACCACATGACTTTTGTTTGAAGTGATTTTTCAAAAGGACTGTCACAGACTCAGTATTGTGTCAGTTGAATTCAATTTGGTTGTTTGATACAAATATTTGCACACAACACTTGTTGTTCCTTTTTTCCATATAAAGTTGAACAGTTTGGGGGTGGGGGGGCGGGGGGGGGGGGGGGGGTTTAGTGGGATGTTCTCAGTGACAATGATGTTCATGTAATAAAGTAAACACGCCAAGTTAACCCTCCATGCTGATACATGCTAACTACGCTAATGACAGATTGGAATGTGCAGCTTTGTTGCAGACACTAGATATCAATCCAAAGCCAGAAACTATGACATATTAAGTTGCCATGAGCTGTAAATTCAACACTCTTACGCAGAGTCTGAATGAGCTCTTTTCATTGGGGCGGCTGCCTCTGTCTCACCTAGACCCTTGGCCTGGGTCTGAGTGAGACAGAAGACCCTTTCCTAAAGGTTTGATCTGGTTTGAATTTTCACATTCAGCTATAAATATCAAAATTATGGCACCATTTTCATAATTATATGATAATGGTTTAGTAAATGAAACAGTCATATGTATGATGTTACCAAATCCAAGACTGTACCCCGTCAGTTTTAAGTCAAGCTTGTAAGTGAATTTTTCTGCCTGCTGGTAGCATCAAAGCCCTTTTTAGCAAAGACAGAAACATATTGTCAGTAACTCACTCCAGTGATTAGAAGCAGTAAGGTGAAACTGTTGTGTAGTTGAACGAATAGAAAACTAAGAGTATGTGTTTTGTCTGAATTTAACCTCTTTAACTTGGTTGACTCTCAGTGAGTGTTGATGTGACAGTTTCTTATAGCTACACTTTAAAAGGGCTTGTTTGTTTTTGTGGCCTCTCAGCCTGATCCTCAGGGAAGAGACCTTTGCTGGATTTCCAGAAGCCCGTGTGTGTGTGTGTGTGTGTGTGTGTGTGTGTGTGTGTGTATTTACTTCACTGTGACTGTATTTAAGACAGAGAGAGATGCTTCTTAGAAGGATTATTGTTATGAAAATCAGTTGACCTAATCGCTAAATGTCACCTTATGTAACATCAAGAACTTAACTGAGCCCCTGTTAAGCAGTTTGTTGCAGACTGTGTGTGTGTGTGTGTGTGTGTGTGTTTGAACATGATTTTCCTCACGCACACTTGGGCAACATAGAAAGGGAAGAAAAAAGGAGCAAAAAAGGAAGTACTGCCCCACAGCAGTTACTTGAAAAGGTTTCGAAAGCAAACACCTTTCTTTCTACATCACTGAATTTATTCACCTGCAGTGGGTGTTACATTTAACTGACGGTTTCCTGTTTCAAACTTCCAGCTCGATGTGCAATATTAATAGATAATACTCTCCATGCATTCTGTGTTATAAAACACATCTGCATAATACATACAAACTGGAACTTGTTGTTAGAGTGTCTGGTCTAACTTGGACAGGGTTGAAAAGTTCGAATCATACAGGTTTGACATTTCACCTTTATCCTGAAACCGTCTTGTCCTTAACTGACATTTAGTGGTAAACTAATATAGGTTGGAATACATATTTTTTATTTAAGTTGCTTTCTGCAGTAGTTATCACCTACAGCTGTGGATCATGGCGACATCTTTCAGTTTTAGTTGGGATGTGTAGGTTATCTGCTCTCTCAGAGTGTCCACTGTGTGTGTGTATCAGGTGTGTAAAAAGTGAAACATGATCTGTGCATACATAATAGACTGTCCTTTCATGTTGTTTCTTGTGGGACAGAAGCAGAGAGACACAGAGGCAAAGAGAGGAGCCTTGTTGTGTGGTTTCTGTCTGGATGATGTTTCTGTTGTCTTAGACTCACATTTCAGACATATATGTACTGTACACAAATAAGAGCCTCAGTAAGAATGCTAGCAGCATCTGCCATTCTCTGTATCAGGGTTGCCAACTTTTTAATTTAGTTTGGAGTTAGTCTTAGTATCAGAGACGTCACTGCATTATATGAGTAGACCTTCTGTGACATTACTTACCACAGAGGTCGGGTCATTACTCCTTGATCCCCAGGAATTTTCTTTTAAAAGCTCAGCTGCCAAATTTTAAAGCATTTGTAGATGAAAAGCCAAGTTAGTAATCATGGTCAGTGATGAATGAGTGTAGCTGATCAGCATACTGACCCATCTCCATAAATAATAGCCTACATGATGCTAATTTATCAATTAATCATTTGTCAATTGTTGTGACAGAAACTAAACTTTGTTTTACAACATGATGATGCTGATTTTTTCAACCATAGCGTTAATACCAGAGAGGCAGAGTAAAGCTGTCTGTCATGACACTTAGTAGTACTATACTGAAGGCCTTTTCACTGCTGAACCTCTTTACAGCCAACTGAAGGCCGCAGGTATCAGTTCCAGCCGCATTCTCTTACCTAATGTTGCGCACTGTTAAGCCATAATCAGACATTGCAGGTCTGTGGTTGAATTTTGTGCAACCAGCATCAGACCGTTGTAAAATGACCACAGAACCCCCTGTGCTTATGTGCACATCAAATGTTGTGTTTAAATTATTTGACAGTTTATTCTGCACATTAACAGGCATGTTGGAGGCTGGCACACTGAAAACAGTTCATACAGCCCCACCAAAAACCAGGAAATATTTCAAACTTCTCAATCTGCTTTGACTTCCTCAGCAGTGTACTTTCAGTGGAGTCATTGGTGGTCAGATCGATCAACATTTTTTTAATGAACAAATTGATCAAATAAAGTTGTGTAATATCAAAGAACCAAAGAGAGTGAATACTGGACTTAATTTCATTAGGTGGCTGAAACAAAACTCCAAACTTTGCTAATGTTTGATAGGAAACTGTTTCCTAACATGTTAACCACATCAACACACTAAGGTAATAATATGTTGGTGTTGTGTTTACAGTTTGTTGTGCTGTCCTCAAGTGGCCAAAAAATAGACTTATGCAAGTTTAAAAGACAAGCGTTTGAAGATGTCCACTTAGACTCATACTACTGAAGCCTCATATAAACTTTGGTTTACTTAACAAATCATTTTAGCCCTGAGCACTGAGACTGTGGATTTCCCCAGTCTCTTACATTGGAGTCACACAAAGAAATCAGTTCACCACCAGTGTGAAGAGGAGGAATAATTACAGTGACCAATAACACAACTGTGTGCGATAGAGTCTACACGTTCTCCCCAGTGTGGTCTCATTCATACACAGTTTATTGAATAATTATATATCATTGTTTTAAAATGTCTACTTTTCATATTTTAACAGTTAAAGTTTTTAATTTTAGCACCTTTAAAGGAAAACTTCACCCCCCAAAATGACCATTTGTATTTGTTGTTGTGCTACAGTGAATTTGTGAAGAAAACTGTTTTCCTCACATGCCTTTATGGAAGAAAATGACGAACATATTGATTTATTGATTGATTACTGACAATGTTTAACAACAGCAAAACTGTATCAACAGATCTGTTGACAAACTTTCACTCAGCTCAGAGTGCAACATAATCCAAGTCTAATTTATCCAGTCATTTGCCCATTGCTTCCCAAACACATGCATTTTCTCTAAAACCTTACTATTTAAAACTGAACTGAGAGTGAAACTAATCAATGCACTTTTCAAAGCTGGACTGGTTTTTTTTTGTTTTTGTTTTTTTTTTCTAAGTGAAAATGCATGTTTGGTCACCAATAAATCAATGTTTGCCATCTTCTGTGGAGACATGCGAGAAAAACAAAGTCTTCTTCACAAATTTAAGGTAGCACAGCATAACTAATTGATATACAAGTTGTCATTTTGTGGGTGAAGTATTCCTTTAAGTTGCTTTCTAACTGCATCGCTATCTTCTTCTTACATGGTCTGTCTTGTTTCTTGTTTTCTCTTTCTCACCACGCTAGATTTCTGGGCTGCTCCAGTGGGCGCTGATAGCCAGCGCCCCCTACACGGTGTTGCCAGTGTATGGCTGGGTGATGTTTGTGGCTGTCACTCTGTGGATCCTCACCACCATCCTCTTCTTCATGATCCTGTTCGGCGCCCAGCAAATACTCACCTCCATCCCCTGGCCTCTGACAGTAGGAAGGGATGAGGGGAGAGGGAAAAGTGGGGGGAAGAGGGGAGAGGGGAAAGAGTGAAAACCTTAACCCTGACAAGTTTTGAGACTTGTCTTGCTCGCATGAGACACAGGCTTTAAAGCTTGCTCCTTTATAATGAGGGAAAGAGATACCCCTATTTATCACAGGGTATGCAGAAACTAGATTTAATGTGCTTTCATTAAGCAGCTTCTGGACTTAAAGCACTCTTTATAACATTTAACATAATGACTAAATAAGCAACAATTAAAGTTTGAAAAAAGACATTCTTGGCTATTATCTGTGAGGAGTTAAATACTATAAAAAAATCCATCCTACTTGAAACTTAATTTAAACACACTAATTTTAACACCACTGAGTATCCCAGCGCAGTTGATATTAGTTATATTCAGATGTGAACTGGTCAATAAGGCACATTTTGATGGGACGTAATCTCTCTATATCCATAAATGGTTCATGTACAACAATAAGGCAGGCAATTAGACTGAAGTGTTACTGACAGGGATCAAGAATCGTGAGGTTTGGTCAAATGACAAAAGGCTGACAAGAAAGGATAGTAAAGTAATGAAATGAGCAGGCTAGAGCAGTGGAAGAGAAGGCGAGATGTAGAAAAGCTAGCAAGGGGAGAGAGTAGGTGGGAAAGACGCAAAAGAAAAGGTAGTATAACAATTTCATGAAAGGGCACATCAGGACAGAACGGAGAAGCTCTGAGGAAATGTGGCTTATATTTGTCCTCTCTTGCTAGGTGATGACGTATCACGCGACAGCCGCCGGCCTCTATCTATTCGCCTTCACGGCCAACGCAGCATCTGTGCACGCCTTCTACTTCACCTATTACTACGGACGTATGGCAGCTGCCGCTGTAAGATGCCTGACACCACTAACACTGGCTCAAATACAAAGAACTGCTTGAATATGCGAGAAACACTTTGAGGTCAACCTCTGATAATGTGTCTGCAAAGGCAAATCCCTGTGAGAAGAAATAATAGTTTGGTCAACAGACAAAAATCTAGGCCTGATCAGTCTTCTGTTCCTTCAGTCATCAGCATTGGAACACTGAGAACATTTTGCACTTATTCCCTCCCTGCTTCCCTCTCACTGCCACCACTGTTTGGGCAGGTGTGTTTCTGATTGCATGTGTACTTATCAGGCTGTGGCAGGTACAAACTCCTGAAACTCCTGTGACTTGAGAGAGGCAGAATAAGATGAAGGGTGAGGCTCTCTTAAGGCTCACATGGCTGTGAGGCATGTCATATGACTGACAGAGTTTCAGTCAAGTTACTTTTGTACCACAGCTGCCACTCGGTCCTCCCCTCTGCAGAGCCAATGTTCAGTCAAGGAAAAAAAGTGTGTGTGAGACAAAAATGTAACACAAAAGATCCCTGGCGTCAGGAAATGGAGGCTGCAGTTTTATGGTCTCTTCCGCAAGCTAAAGTCCATACTGGTTGACAGCTTCAGTAGCATTTAGCACATAATGATTTCACACCCACACAGACACACACATGCAGCCCTGGCCCCTGTCCTATCAAAAACTCTTATCAGTTGCGTTTTACTGTCTCTGAGGCACACAGTCGAGATTGGGATAATGGCTAATTAGGACATTGTTAATCTTTTGAATCACAGGCATCTGGAATCTTTATAGACCCAATCACAATGTTTGTTTATTGTACCTTTTGGAGAGATACCCTCTGTGTCACGTACAGAACATGAAAGGGTGCTGAGCAAATGCTGCTTCAATTGGTTAGTTTTTAGCCATCTGAAAAAAGGTCAAACTAAAAAACATCAGTATCAGTTTAATTGTATGCTATATTTAGAGTATTTTCACCACTTAAGCTTGCTGTCAGACAGCCCTTTCTGTTGGGGGACTACAGTTATCTCGAAGCCACCAGGCTCCATTGACAAAAACAATAATTTCAAAGGTACTTCGCCTCTGTCAGTTAGTGTGTAAGGTAAACTGGTGAAAATATTCCAAACACAGCGTACACTTAAACTGATAATTGTTTTTAGGTGGCTAAAATACATTTTGGCTGCTGCCCCTGTCCACAGCAGTACATTGTTTTGCTACTGTACCAATAAATTTGGTTAATCAAAGACGCTAGCAAAGCAACACAATATATAAAATAAGCACAGTAGAAACATCAGTTAGGTTGGACCACAGTGTTTAACTGTACATCATTAACATGTCTTTTACAGTTACGGCTGAAAATGACAACATAAAGTACCAAGGCTGCTTATTACAGTTATCTCCGCAATTCATATCAATTGCTAGTTGACTAGCGGAGAGTGACTGTAGTTGTTAGCGTGACGTCGCAGTGATTTGGTATAGCTTGGGCCCATGTTTACTTCCTGTGAGCTGATATCATTTACATATACTGCAAAACATTTCAACAGAAAGTACAAAGGGAACCATTTAAAATGTTTATCTTGTCAAATTTGAAACGGTCTTTACATGTGAATACATAAAGATGTAAATTATTTTTGCTTTATACTGGCTTTTGAATATTTGAGATATTTCCGCTCTGCTTCCTTAGGTCATTAAACAGGTATAATTGTGTCTCTTCTCCCCTTTTCACTTCCTCTCAACGTCTCTGTTTGTCTCCCTCCCTGTCTCTCTGTCTGTCACTTTAGTTCTTTGGTGCTGTGGCAGCCGTGGCGTACGGTGGAAGCGCCTACCTCTCCTATATGGACTGGAAGGGAGACGGAGGAAATGCTGCCACCAACACAGTGCCGACCTAGGACTCAAACCTGTGATGCTGATCCTGGAAAAAGACTCCTCATGTTTAAGATACTGTAGTTATTTGGATAGTCAGCCATCGACACAGGTGATAGTTGAGTATCACTGCTGACTCCAGTAACCCAAATCCTGGCCTCTTCTTAACCCCAGTATTAACAATAAGATGAAACCTAATTCAGACAGAAGATATCCTCTATTATATTACTTTTCAATCAAACTCTTTAAACTTCTTTTACCTTCATGTTATGAAAATAAATTATATATCACCACTGGATTATCCACACAAAATGTACTGTATCTCTTTAAAGTGCTTTTTTAGACGGCACTGAGGTCTTAACTTCAGGCTTTCTTGTTATAATACAGTTATTAATACTATTGTCAATACACAAATAAAGCCGTGCCTCGAAGTCTTAGTAATACCATGGGTTATTGGCATGATAACACCGCCGAGTTGTTTTAAAAATATACACAAGATGCCTTACTATGCACTTGAAGCAGTAATATTTTGGAAAACGCCCAGAACTGCCCTCTTGACAAAAGTTAAATGGATTGACATCACTCTCATGTCTGTACAATAAATGTGAGGTTACTGACAGCAGATAGTTAGCTTAGCTTAGAATGATGACTGGACACAAGGGGAAACAGCTAACTTGGCCGTCTTGGCTGTTTCCCCGTTTCCAGTCTATGTGCTAACCTGTGCTAACTTGCTGCCAGCTGTAGCTTCATATTAAACACACAGACATGAGTGTGGTGTCACATGTCTCATCTAACCCTTAGCATGAAAGCAGATAACTTAATTTACCCACATCTCAAACTATCCCCTTAAAGCTGGCATGTCCAAAGTTTGGACTGGGGGCCAATCTTGGCCTTCGGGCCTGTTGTTCAAAATATACTGTGGTCCCACACATTATTGGTTAATCAAGCAACATCACTTAGCATTTTTTCCACTAACCTCAAGATGGCAGAACTATCATACAGTTTGTAGACTTTCATCAAGTAGGAAATACGCAAGTAGAGCGTTTCATGAACACATGGTGAACATGCAAACAAATGGTTACCTAACAGCAGACATTTCCTGCTGGGTAGCAGACATGGCCACAGCAAAGTAGAGGTGTAAGAAAATATGGATACATTTGAGTATTGCAATTTTATGTTTTGTGACACATTGTTTTGTAGTATCAATGTTAATGAATAGTTTATGTGTGTTCTTTTTAATCGCCGAACAGCTAGATAGCAGTGCTGTAATCTGTCTTCAGTCACATGACTCTCCCACTCCAATGTCAAAACACACTGCTAGTGTGTTACAGAGGTGATAGTAAAAACAGATCCTACTCTTCTGATTGCATTAAAAAAGTAAACTTTCTCCGCTCAGTTTTTATGCATATGATGGGGCGTTCGTTGTGACAGATTTCCTTAAAATTAGATTTAGAAAATATCGCAATACACCACTTTGCTTACAGTATCGAAATAAATCCCAGTATATTAAATTTCAACCTATGTGTTATGATATAATTTTTTTGCCATATTTTTTGCCACTACGCAGCCTTGTAGCAAAGAAGTGTGAAGTCACCAGTAAGTGGCGGGAAGTTAAATTCTTCTCCACTGAAAGATGAAATAATTGCATTTGTCTGATTTGTATGGTATTGTTTTATTTTTTTATTTTTACTTATAACCCATATGATGACCTATGATCCAGGTATTTTCACATTATCTAATCTGGCCCCCATTTAAAAAAGTTTGGACACCCCTGCTTTAAAGGAAGGTCACCCAACAATGGAGGAAGACTTTACAATGCAAATAAATAAATAAATAAATAAATAAATAAACCGATTTGAACTCCAGAGTAAATAGTTACTTGATTATATTCTGAATGACATAGTCCGCTGCTCTACAAAATCTTGATAGTTAAAGAACATAGCAAAATATAGAAATGTTTTATACTGTGGGATCAATTTTGATGACCTCGAAATATCAATATTATTGTACACAGCTCTCAACATGAGTCCCTGTCAGTCATTGATGTAAAGATCAGATTTGCACCATGAAGTGTAAACTGGAATTTGAGGGAAAGCCCTGTTTTCAAAATCTTACTTAACACAAAATTGACCAAACTGTGATTAAACATTTAAACATTTCTTCCAGTGTGTAGTACCATGATGTAAAAAACAAAGATACATAATTACTGAAACTCTTTATTTAGTATTTCTTGTTTACAGAGTTGTTGTTGCTCATATTAGGATGTTGCTCTAACACCCTAACACGGCAGTGCAGACGGTGTGAAGAATGACTGTATGCATTGCATCTGTCCTGTAGAAATCCATTCAGATTTTTTTCTTTCCTGGATATCTCATGTTGAAACTTTAATTCTCTATAGACCAACTCAGCGCACTGGTAACAACTTGAAAACTGCACATAGAAAAATTGACTTTTTTAATCACGTGCTATAAAGATACAGGGTTTCTGCAGGACATTAGTGACTCTTTAATGATTCAAATATTGCTCTGTGAAAGCTCACAGAGCTTTGTAACATATTTCTTTGACTTTCACAATACAGTGCTCAACTCCTGTTGTATGTGCCTTTATGAAATATGCTGTGTCTTTTTTGTACCAAGAACCATGAATACTAGAGAAATAGTGTGGTGAGTGCCGGGGCTTGAGCATGCAGTTGTTCAAATAAAGCACATGGTGATTATAATGTGAGGCTTTCACCTCTTTATTTAAAAATTTCTTTTACCAACAAATATCACATCATCGCAATTTCACCACTGACATGAATATACTTATACAATTACAGCTGTCATGTTAAGACAAGTAGAAAATACTTTGACATGGTACTGAAAACTAGACTGTAGATCTGAATATTAATTGCAGTCACACACACATGCACGCACACATACACACAGTCACTAAATACATTAAAAACCACTTTCACAGGCACAAAACTCCAATGAGTTTTCAAACTGACCAAATAAATTAAAACTTTATAAACATATTAGTTCTGTTGTATTATTTTCTTATGAAAAGACATATCAGGCAAAGAGAGCAGAGTCAAACATTCAGTCACATCAAGTTGAGTCCCCTGCTTACAGGGGGACTTGTTGAAGCCTTCCACATAAAAACTAGTAGCATGATGTGAAAAAGCACTAGGTTCCCTCTCCCCAACCAGGCAAACTTAATAAAAATATAAGTAAATAAGATGATCTATACATCATGCTTAGGCCCCCCACCTGCAGATTACAGGTAAATAAATCTGAATTTTTCAAGTAGTTATTATTTCCAGTGCAGCAGTTGGGGAGTACAAAGAAGCCAAACCCTTCCACCTTTACTCTTACACAATAAACAGCCTCTTAAACACACATACCATCCCACTCACCACATAAAACACAGAGGAATGCATATATTAAATTGCTGTTAGGCGTGAGACTGTAGATTTATGGGGAGTGTAACCAGCAGCTCACCTTTAGAGTACAAAACTCACACACACACACAAAAAATAAGAAATCACTGACCAGAAGCTAACAAGTGTCTGAAGGCCAACGAACAACATGTTAGAGAAACATACAGAGGAGGAGGAGGCAATTCAAATGTTTGACTTTGTGAGTGTCACTGCAGTTCAGTGGCGCCACGTTGTTTGGAACCTGCAGGGATCAGAGGTGTGACCACCAGACCATGAAAATTCAGATCTCTGCCCTCCTTCTCCTAAAAAAAAAATTCAGATTCATACAGCTGGTATTAAAATAAAGAATTATAAGCAGGAGTTCCAACAACTGTTTTTTTTTTTTTTTTTTTTACCAATTTCTCCAGAGAAATCAGTCAAGATTCCAATGCGTGTGAATGCAGGCTGGGACTTTAAGAAACAGACTTGTTTAATGATGTAATATGACACCAACTGTCAATATACCTACCAGAAAATACAATTCCAATTTCAACATCAGGACATGGTTTTACCTCAATAACACTAGACTTCTGCAGAAATTGTAACATTTCAATCCATAAAAATTATGTGCAATAAAGAGGACTGACAAAGGAAAAAAGTACTGAACACGTTAACTGAAATTTATGCAATACTTGGAGAGGCCTTTGTTGGCAATGCTGACTTCAAAACACTTCCTTTATGAAGAAATTAATCTCTCACAGTGCTCAGATGGAATTTTGAGCCCGTTTCTCCACACAGTCTTTAAATCTTGAGGATTCTTTGGGCCTGAATCATGAGAAAGAAATTTCACCTTCAAAACTTTGACAATTAGTGTCTTCAGTTCCCAAATGCTTACTGAGTGCTGTTAAAGAAAAGGTGATGTAACACAGTGGTTATCATGCCCTTGACACAACTTTTTTTGTAATGTGTTGAAGGCATCAAATTCAGATTGAGTGTATGTTTTCAAAAATATACACTTCATTTATTAGTTTGAACAGTGAATATGTCTTTATACTGTAGTATATTGAATATGTGTTAAAAATGAATTGCAAATAATTGTATTCAGATTTTATTGAAGTTTTACTCAGTGTCCAAACTTTTTTTTTTAGAACTGGGGTTGTAGAAATAGAGAAATCCTAATGTGATGAATTAAAAAAAATCTCTCGTTGAGGTTTTTAATGAAAAGAGGAGGAAAGATGTTCTCCATATTGGCTGACAACTCACCGCTCTGTATTCCAGAAACATCTCTTTAAAGGCCATGAAGTCAGTGAACGTTAGCAGCATGTCAAAGATGTCACCTGGCACATCCTCTTTGTGTTGCCTTCCGATGAAAGAAAAACACAAGGTGAACCTTATCACATTTGCAATATAATTTTATGCCACCTAGTGGCCTGCTGCGAAATAATATTTCTTAGGTGCAACAGCTGCATTACACAAACTACAGTACGAGTTGACTGGTTGCTTTCAGTAACACCATGCATGTCACAGATGAATTAAAATGGTTTAGCTGTTGTAAGAGGAAAACAGGCAGAGTAAGATGGCCTCAGGGGAAAGTTGCGATGTCACGTCTTACATGAGCAGCTCTGTGAAAGTGGTCATGTTGAAGCCAGTGATCCTTTCCCTCAGCTGCTGCTCCAGTTGTTTCTCCAGCAGGTCAACCTACACAACAGCCATGAGTGTTATCATTAATTTGGTCTTAGTTTGCCTCCCTGACTGCTATAGATGTTCGGTCAAAAGCCAATTTCTTTGATAGAGCTGTAGGTTGAAATTAGACAAGTTGATATAACTCATATTTCTGCAGGTAGCTGTGTATTTGACTCAGAAACGGACATATTCATTGAAGATGGGTGTGTAGCTCAGCTTGTTCTCGTCAGAGTCCTCAAACTCCAGGTAGTGTTTCTCCATAAAACTCTGCTGAAGCTGCTGGAAGTCCTCCTCTACAAGAAAAAAAACATCATAGAACATCACATATCTTGTCATTAATAGGTTAAACACTTATTAGAAAAGACTGACTAGGATGGATGCATCACAAATCCTACCCATGATGATGTCCTCTATGCAGCCAATAAGAGCATCAAAAGCAGCGTCTGCAGCTGAGGAACTGGAAGGAGAATAACAAGAGATGAAGATCATATCACTTTATATGCAGTATATTAACTCTGCTTTCTCCAGCTGTAGGCGTGACTTTAAAAAATGAGAACTTGAGACTTGACTGTGACACTGACTTCAGACTTGTCTTGAGCCTTGAAAATACTCAAGTCTTGACCTAGTAAAACCCCAGAAGAGAAGAAAAGATACTAAAGACAGGAACAGACGAGCCTGCCATGACGACGGAGCTGTAAAATTTAATTATTTGGCCTTTTGCATTAAACTTAGAGCACTTGGTCTCACAAAATCACAACGTTATTTACACAGCTCCAAATTGACAACGTTCAAACACTGTCTTCAAGACTTGTGACTTGACTTTGACACCCCACCTGGAAATAGCAACGTTTTCGTCGTCCATGTCAACCATTTCTACGATGCTGTCTCCACAGTTCAGGTCAGCTGGAGGAGGAGGGGAGACAACATCTGAACTCTCATGCTTTAGTGAAATCAAAGCTGTTAGCTAGCATCACACAGAACAGCTAGGTTAACTCGCAAATGCTACTATTTTACAACAAACAATAATTCGTTCAATCACGAATCTGTTTGTCAGGTCTAACTAGTTTTGGTCGTTGCTGAACGATATAGTTAGCTGGCTAAGTAAAGGTTAGCTAACGTTAGCTAAACACATGTAGTCAGCACTACATGAGCTGCTAGAGTTTGTTAGCGATAATTCGCATATTTCGAATTTAAAGTTTCACTCAACACATTCTTTAAGCCGCATTAATGTTATCTAAATACATTTAATTTACTTACTTCGTTCCTGGATGTCCATGTTGCTTCAACAAGTCGTTGACGTGTATGGTAAATAGTGAGCGTAATGTTGTTACCAAGGAAACAGCGAACATTTGTGCGCGACTGAGTCCCGTCCGGTAGAACACAAACTGTGCACCTTGGTTCCGACCTGTGAACATGCAGGGGCGATTAAAGAAATGAGACTTTGTGGACTATTTTAAAAAAGACATTGTTGACACAAGGTTGCCTCCAGTATCTCACAAAGTCCACTTGGTCCTTGTACTGGATTTTTACTCATATTGTGTTACATAATCTAATTATTATCAGATCTTTCCTGACATTCTTCATTACAGTTGAAGTTTTGATATCTGCTTTGGTTGTGATGCCTGTGCAAATAAATGTATATTAAAGGGACAGTTAATGTTTTTTTGAAGTGGGGTTGTATGAGGTACTTATCCATAGACAGCGTATTGTGTACAGTAGATGTCAGTTGGCTCGTCCCCACTTTGGAGAAGCAGGCTGGTGTCCGATATGGAAAGTTTTATTTAGAGTATTTATTATTATTATTATTATTATTTTTTACCACTTTACCTTTCTGCCAGACAGCCTGTTCTATAAGGAAGGTTAACGGCTAGAGTTCCCCATCTATGCTCTCATCAAAGCCAAACAGTAATTTTAGCTTGCTGATCATGGGAGCTGCTGGTCTGCAGCTGCTTCAATCAGTTAGTTAGTGTTATTGTGTGACATTGGTGAATCCAAATTAATCCTTTTAAATGCCAAAGCCACATAATGACACAAACAAAGTGATTGAGGAACTGGTACACAAGCAGCTTCTGTGTTCAGTGATGTTAAATCACTGTCTGACATTAAGGTAAAGCAGTGAAAATACTTTCGATATAGAATACACTTAAACTGACAATGTTTTTTTTTTTTTTTATGTGGGATGTTTTTTTTAAGGTGGTTAAAATATGTTTTGTTGCAGACTCCTCCATAGCAGGACTCCAGCCTACATCTACTACTGTGGGCTTGCCGACTGACATCTATTGTTTGTACAATACTGTCTATGGATAAGTACCACAAACAACCCCACTTTAAAAAAAAAACAAACATCTGAAATATCACATATAAACACATTTTGTTTACTTGCACGTGTTACCAAGTCTTTCTGTAATAACAAATGGAAAGCCAATGTTAAATATCAGGTTGTTTTCACTTCGGTTTTTGAGACAAAGAGAAAATTTTACGTGTAAATAAACAATCATACAAAAAATATATATCACATGAACATACATTTATTACAAATATCACAATCCAGGAAACAACAACGCTTCAATCACATCTTTGGGAACTCTGGGGCAAAATTCCTTTATAGATGTTTTAAATACAACCCACAACTTATTCTTTACAGTCCTGAACTTCATCTCCAATCGCAGAGACAAATGTGTAATTTCTCTCACCTGCATGTACAGTATAAGGTGCTCCAGGAAATACAAGATAGCAAACAGTGACCAGACCAGTCTTTTGTCCGACTAAGAGAGACGCATGTTACCTTTTCGATATCATGTTAGTATCATCTGAATGATTTTCCAGATCCTGTTCAAGCAATTTGGTAGAGTAGTAACTTTTTCATAAATAATTTGACCGAAATAAATTTAAAATTATATAGTGCATCCATTTATTCTAATTGTACAAATAGATTCTATTGAGTCCTAATTTGTCACCTGTTTCAAAAATTCAAATGTCATTCAGTCAACCCAGAGATGCTTCAAGTAAAGGATGGACAGAAAGACAGAGAGGAAACATGAGGTTCCTTTAAAGACAGAGGGAGAAAGATGGAAAATGGCTAAATGAGAGCAAAGGTGTGCTATGTTACATAAAGCACAAAGAGGGAAACCACAATTTACCCATTCTGAAAGATAAATTGGAAGATGCGCCTCCAATCTGACAAACTTGTTCTTACAAGATCAATTCTGTATGCTGTGATTTGTAGCAAGTGAAACATAATTACATTTTTCCCCCTGTACTGAAACATACACTCTCTAGGTCATTTCACTGTGTTGTGGGTACTGTAGTTTCTTTGCTAATTCATATCAAATATTACACTGCCAAATCAGACCCAAAATAACCCGAGGATATTTAGTAAACTGATAATGAGGAAAAACGATTCACTTAAACATGTCACATTTGTTTTGAACAATTTAATAATCGGCTAATACAACACTGTCAATCAACAAAACCTGTTGTATCTCTCAACCAAGTTTCTACATCAGCATTCACCATCATTTATAAAACAAAATTAAATCACATCTTGAGGATTGAAAATAGTCGTCTTCATTCAGACGCATGTGTTTGTCATTACAAACAAAAATTAAGACATATTTACTCATGCTGCCCCTCAGTTGAGCCTGACTCATGGTGTAGCTGCATTACAAGTTGTTGCCGAATTGTTAGCACCAATCAAGCAATCCCAGATAAACTCAGAAGGTGGTGGTGGAAATTAGGTTGTTTACTTCCCCCTCACTGGCTCTTCAAACATAAGCACTTATGATTAGGGAGAAAACGTGATTTCATTTAAAGACAGGCTTTCTGCAAATTCTATCTATTTGTTGTGGTTGTTACACACATGACTGAGACTGAGGAAATATCAACATCTGAGCTAAGACAAAACAACACAAAAAGCAGCAGGGTCAGCTGAGCTTAAAATATCAGTCACTTCAGATTCAAGTCACTTTTTTTTTTTTTTTTAACGGGCTGTAAAACAAGAATTTTGTCATTAACATTCTCTGTCGGGAGACAGCTGAATTGATTTTTTAAATTTGCTTTTGTAAACCAAATCAGAAAACTGAATTCTAGCAATAATTTTGCAACTTTAAAGCTTTCTGACACAAAGAGAAAAGTCTGACATTTTACCTTAAGATGTATTTTTCCCAATGGCAAACCCTACCAGTGGGGGATCAATCAGTACAGACAGTAAAGCTGACCAAAAAACTAGATATAACTTTGAGAAAGGAGAATGAAAATGCTACCTCGAGAACACCATAGGTCGCATATCTATACCCAAAAACATGAAATGAGATTCATCTCAAATGTATCTGTACCTTGGGTTTAATACTGTACTACAGGCTGTTTTTCTTTTCTGCTACCCAGCCCTTTCAGATCTGCAGACATGTGCATGACGATGATGGGATTAAATAGTAGTAGCATCTAGGCTGAAAGCGCAGTGGGATCCTCGTATCATAGAAAGGATGTCTGATAACTATGCAGGGGCTTGCAGATAAGAGGTTGGTTCCGGTCTGTGATCTCATTAAATTGTTTCTGCTCCTCACTTCTGCTCTTTTTGTCTGAAGTACACACTGTTGGTAGAAAGTTGACGATTCTTGGCCCAGTGTCTGCAGTGAGTTGTCAGAAGGATACAAAAGAGGAGATGGAGGTAAATGGGAGAAAGCTCCTGGGGATCCAGCTGTGGTTTAAATTCCCCTCCTCTCATCTCCTCTTTTTCTTCTCTTCACCCCTCCATCGTTGCCTCCTCTTACCAGAAGTCACAGTTCTGGTATCATCACAACATTGTGGCACCGTCCTCACAGCCCTGCTGGGTGAGAGGGGATTAGAGGAGGAGGAGGAGGCTGTAGGGCTTGTGTGCCTCTCCGTATTGGAGAAGGGGCAGGAGGTTTGTCAGGAGACATGTGCAATGAGTCTGACGCGGGTCTGGATGTCCTGGCGGCACAGGGGGCACGTCTCTAACTGTAAGGCACACTCCATACACATACCACTGGAGGAAGATGGGGAGGGGCAACATACATGAAGATTTTATTATCCATTCATAGAAAATGCCAGACAGAAGGGAAAGGGCCTATGATATATTTAAACTGTCTAAATAGTTTGGAACTTTTAAGCATTGTTTGTGCACACATACCCATGTCCACAGGGCCGCAGCTCCGTATCAGCCATGACATCACAACACAGCGTGCAGCAGTTGTCTCGGATGCTAACCTGCTTTAGTAAGGCCAGACGCCGGTGTCTGTGAAACACATACATGCAAACACACACAGACTTGTATTTAAAGCAGCTTTTTCTGTGCACAGTGATGAAAACTAGGCATGGTAAATCAACCTGATGCACTTGCGCTGTGGCAGGTCTGAATTTGAACAAATTACACTGGCCTCTTACTAATGTAAATAAATATTTATGGCAAGTGAAACAACTTAATTTCAAAGCTTTGACAAATGAACTTCCAAATACAGGATGTAGGCGAGTGATGTATTGCAGTATCTTTACTGTTGGCGCCATCATGAATCTAAAAGCACAATACTGTAATTTTACCAAGCTGCCAAAATAGCCCAACATGATTGTGTTTATGCTCATTTATCAATTTAACATTAATTTGTTAACTGTGTGTTAGGCTTGTGTGATGTTAGGGTATTAAGGCATACCACAGTATTCAGAAATCCAGACAGTAAGACTTTTCAATAATGTCAAAAATACAGATGCTTCTCTTTCTATCAAACACATATTGAGATGCTGTATTAAGAGTGTATTGTATGTAGTGCACACTATGCTTCACTACAGGTCAGTGTCTACAGATGGAAAAGGCAGGTGAACTGACTGCCAGTGGTGGATAATGTTACAGGACCGTAAACAACTACAATAGCAGACAGACACACATCTAACTTGATGAATTAAGGATTTATTTCAACCAAACCTTAGTTGGTGATTGTTGGAACAGTGGACTAACTAAACGGCTAACAAAACGAAGTGGGATTTGGAGTGCGGTTCCATCCAATAACACAACCCTGCAATAACTTCTTTCTTTGTCAAGATTATACTGTCCAGGTTTTTGTTGACACTGCGTTAAAGAGTTCTTGATTCAGCAAAGGCAATTTTTCAGGTTGTGCTGTTGCACGGGATCTGAGTCAACAACTTTCTGACAGCCAACACAATCTGATCATTTTGAGCTTCACAAAGATGTTATTCATTTGAGTAATAAGAAGTGTTGATAGGTGCATTACATTTTGGTGCTACAGAGTATCATTGCATGATTTCCTACAAACCCTAAACTGAATAGAGCCATAATTAAGTGCCTGCCAAAAAACAGGCCTGCTGCTCTAATCGATATTAACA